GAAAGAAAGAAAGAAAGAAAGAAAGAAAGAAAGAAAGAAAGAAAGAAGAAACCCCCAGAATTGCTCAATGATGAGATGGGTAGCATATAAATTTAATAAAGAAATAAAATTAAAATGGACAGAGGGGAAGAATCCAGAACCAGAATCCGACTGAGATGGACACCCTTTGAATGGTGTGACAGTAGGAATGGATTTCCAGAGGGGGGAAAAATGCAGACTACAGGATCCAGGAGCACTAACCCAGGTGACCCTGAGGACCCAGATAAACCTTAGGATGCAAATGACCAACAGTATCAATCCTTCTGTTCCCCACCATCCAGTCAGAGCTGAAGAAGCTCCTTGGATGAGAAGTGAAACGTCTTAAAAAGACAAAACAAGAAAGTCCATTTGCCTCCTGAAAAAAACACAAAAAGCACCTTTGGGACAACTGGATGACTGAGAATCTCTTCAACATCCAACTGAGAACTACTTTTAAGGCAGTAATTTTTTGGTGTGTGTGTGTGTTTAGTTCACAGGATTTGATTCCTGGGTGGAATTTAGCTTGCAGAGGCCTTTAGCTTCCTATCACTTGCATTTGAACAGACAATCCTGCGCTCTGTTTTGGTTTGCAAAGCATTGCTCCTTTTATGTATTGGGGGTGCGGGGGGGGGGGGGGGACACACACACACAGGACGACGACCATTTGCAGCTTTGCCTCACAGGACTCGCTGCTCTCCTTGGGCAGGGCCCCGCTGACTGCGAGTGCGAAACTTACCATCACGTAATGGCGCTGCATCTCCGACTTTTCGCTGGCCAGCTTGTCGCATTCCAACTTCAGGCTGTTAAGAAAGAGGGAAATTGGGGAGGTGGGCATGGGGGAATGAAGTGGGAGGCGGGGGGCCCTTCTCTGCCATTTGGAAACGTTGCCTGACTTCCATTCAGAGTTAAAAGAGCACTGGAAAAAAAAAAAAAGCGACTGACCACCGGTCCTCACCCTTACGACCATGGTAGTATCTCCCAGTCAGGTCATCAAAACGTGAGTCTGTTTTTGAGCTTGAGATCTCACACCATCGTCTAGCTTTTTTTAAAAAAAAAAGTTATTATTTAAAAAAAAAGCAAAATGCAGTTTATAAAATATGCCTCCATTTCCAACTGTATCCAGATTTTTAAAATTTTTAAGGATCAAAGAATGAAGGTTGTGTTTCAGATTATCGCAAAATAATGGTGGGTTCTGCAGTCCTTTGCAAAACACGCAGAAAAGGGGGTCTCAAAAGAGAGGGGGAGGCAGATCCGGAGATCAGACTGGGATCTCTTGAGAAAATCTATAGATGATCTGCAACAGACTGGCAAGCATGTTTGACTTCAAATGGAGTCGGCCACATTTGGCAGCTTGTGGACTTCAACTCCCAGAATTCCCACTCCTGAATTAAGGCATCGACCCATAAGCTTGCAGGCTGGGGAATTCTGGGAATTGAAGTCCTGAAGTTGCTGAGGGCGAGAAACACTATTCTATAGGATGTCCCGGGGACATTTTAACACCACTGCACCAAAACTGTACACTGCCGAGATCCTCATAAGCAAAAACGGTGCGAATACAGGCCTCAGTGATCAATCACACCGAGTGTTGGTCCCATGGGATCCAACCTTCTTTTCGATTTCACCAACTCCCACATCCTGGCCTAGAAATCACCGTTCACACAACCGTGGGCTGAAAGCTGGAGAAAACTGGGCACATTTACCTGTGATACTGTGCCTGCAGCAACTGGAACTCATCTTTGATCCGGTCGCAGGAATCGGAAGTGGTGAACTTCAACTGCTGAGGCAGATGAGAAGAGGCCTGAAACAGAATTGTTTTTTGGGGGGGATGAGGGGGTGGGAGAACTATCCTTTTAGCCAATTAAAAATGACTCTAGGAGCCTGCTTTAATAGTGCTTGGTTTGGTATAATTATTAACTGCCTGCTCAAAATACTAGTCCTCAAGACTCACCAAAGAAACCATCCACTGCACTGTCAAGCAAATGGCATATATGGTGGTTTAGGAGGTACTGTGGCCATGTTTACACCCCATCTTAAGTTACGATGTGCTTTGCCTGATTTCATCTTAACGAGACTACTAAAGATATAATTCGACATAATCCAAAACATAATCAATGAACAGAATAGAATAACAGAGTTGGAAAGGACCTTGGAGGTCTTCTAGTCCAACCCCCTGTGCCTAGGCAGGAAACCTTACACCACTTCAGACAAATGGTTATCCAACATCTTTTTAAAAACTTTCCAGTGTTGGTGCATTCACAACTTCTGGAGGCAAGTTGTTCCACCGGTTAATTGTTCTCCCTGTCAGGAAATTTCTTTAGTTAGTTCTAGGTTGCTTCTCTCCTGGATCAGTTTCTACCCGTTGCTTCTTGTCCTGCCCTCAGTCAATCCTCAACACATTTTACACCGCCACATTTTGAGAATCGGTTTGGACCAGTAGTGAAGATTTTGAACTAGAAAACCAAGAGGTTAGGAGCTGGCGGGCTTTAGGCCAATTCCTTTCTCAGTCCAACCTACACTGGAGGGGGAATTAGTGGGAGAGACGTCTCACCTATGCCAAAGGCTCAGGCTGGAAAACAACAAAGACCCTGCTTGTCAGAAGTCAACTTGTAATCCTTCGTTTAGTGACCACTCAAAGTTAAGACGACTTTTCACACTGGTGACCATTTGGGGAGCTTGGCAACTGATTCGTATTGATGACGGTCGCAGTGTCCGTTGGTCACGCGATCACCATTGGTGGACTTCCCAGCCGGCTTCCAACAAGCAAAAGTCAAAGGGGGAAAGCCGGCTTCATTTAAGGACATGATTCTGCGGTGATTCACTTAACAACGGTGTCAAAAGTGGTCATAAAATGGGGAAAAACTCACTGAACAATGGCCACGCTTACCGACAGTCGTTTTAGGCTCAAGTGTGGTCATAAATTGAGGACGACAGTGTAATTTGACTTGTTTTGATATAATCCAGCTGGATACATCAGTTTCATATCTGGACAGCTGCAAACAGATGTTTTACGGGAAACATCCGATTTCAGCAATCCAGCCATTCTGCCTGCCTTTAGCAGTTGCAACAATTAGTAGGTTGGTTTTTTTTTTCGAGAAGGCATCTCCCATTTTGGATGGTGAACACCAGGATTATAGGTAGTCCTCGACTTATGACCATAATTGAACCCAACGCTTATGTTGTTGAGACTTTTGTTGATTGAGTTTTGCCCCCTTTTACGACTTTCATTGCCCGCATTTTGTCAGAAGGTTGCAAAAAGGGATCATTTAACCCCCTGGGACACACTGCGACTATCATAAATAGGAGTCAGTTGCCAAGCACCTGAATTTTGGCCAACGTGACTATGGGGATGCTGCAACAGTCATTAAGCGTGAAAAAGGGTCATAAGTCCCCTTTTTCCAGTGCTGTTGTAACTTAGATCACTAAATGAACTGTTGTAAGTCAAGGACTCCCTGCATTTTTTTTCAGTGCATCCCCATGCACTGTTGCAGGCCTCCTGCTAATCCCTGGCTTGTTTTAACATAAGTGTGTTAAATTAGTCACCCTCGTGGAGTCTAAACATTACGTACCATAAGTTGTAACACAAAGAGTGCAAGTCGTAAAGGTTATGTTCAGGTTATTGCTAGGGAAAAGCCCATCCTGGCTTAATTGGATGTGGGCATCGCCAATCCAAACAACATCTAAGAATGCTATGCGTATATTAATTTAATTTTCTATAATGCATGGATTTTTTCTTTGGTGCCAGAAAACTTTTATCTTGGGGGCCTTCTTCAATAACGTTTAACAAATCCAGCCCTTTGGAAATCTCTTCAACATCAAAGCCAGATCTTCTTTCCTTCCTTGATTTTTCTCTAGAAAACCAGCCGGATTTTATTTTCTTAGGATCCGGTGACGTTTGCTATACGAACAGCTTTTACCACAACAACCACAACCTGAGGACACACAATCTTTTTTCCCCTCCAAGTCCTTTGACCTGGGCTCTTGAAAGCGATTTTTTTTTTTTTTTTGGAGTGGGTGGGACGAAGTAGAGTTTGCTTAATTTTTCGCCCTTCCCCTTGTTTTCAGCCTGGGCCTTCTCCTTTTGAAAAGCAACATTAAACCCGCTTTCCTGTCATCGGAAATCCAGTGACCTTCCTTTTGTTTTCATTTCATTCTATTCTTTGACATCCTATAAAAATCAGCTTTGTGCGTGTGTGTGTGTGTGTGTGTGCGCCCAACCTCATTTTTCCCACTAAGCAGAGGACAGGCGGCCTGTTTCTAGTAGCGGTTTTCATCGTAAGATCCTGTTTCCTTTCATCCGTTTCCACCCCACAGATATCAGAGTGCAAAGGTGTGTGTGTGTGTGCCTGAGTTTATTTATTTAAACAACCCCTTCCGGTCCCCATATTTTGCCAATTCCACCATCTCTTCCAACCCAATCCTGCTTTTCCTACTCTCAAACCCCTCTGACCCATCCATGGCCCTTAAGGAGACTTTCTGTGGGCCTTCCCAAGCCTCTCTCACCCATCCACCCCAGCAGGAAAGGCTTAACTCCCCTCCTCGATGAGGACTAGTTACTTAACCCACACTCATCTTCTCCAGTCACCCGGCCACCATTGGGGTCCATGAACTTTTCTTGCCCCCCCCCCCTTCCATCCAGTTGATGCCAGGCCTGTGCCCTGCGGGTGTTTTTTGGGGGGGGCATCACTGGGGTCCACATCACCCCCCCCTCAGCCCAAAGGTTCTTCTCTCTCCCACCAGCCCCAGGTCCGTGCCCTTCCTTCTATGCCCCAATTCTGTGGCTTCCCCTTTAAGAATTATTTTTGTTTGGGGGGGTGGGAATACCTCCTGCAAGAGGAGCCCCTTCCCCTCAAAAACCACCTCCCTCCTGGCTGCACCACCCACGCCTGGTTCCCCCAATCCTCCTTTCCCCCTTCTCCCCCCCCTTCTCTCTCCTTTATACCAAAAACTCATTTGGTGGTGATGAAATCACGCCTTGCAATCTCCAATACTCCCCTCTTAATATTGGAGGGGGATCCCCAACCTCTCCTGACCTCTGGGTACCCCGATGCTCATGTTTCTGGGAACCCCGATGCCCGTGTTTCTGGGCACCCCAATACCCATGCTCCTGGGCACCCAGCTGCCCATGCTTCTGGGCACCCCGATGGCCATGTTTCTGGGCACCCCAGTGTCCCTGCTCCTGAGCATCCCAATGACCCCGTTTCTGGGAACCCCGATGCCCGTGTTTCTGGGCACCCCAGTGTCCCTGCTCCTGAGGACCCCAATGACCCCGTTTCTGGGCACCCTGATACCCATGCTCCTGGGCACCCTGATGCCCATGTTTCTTGGCACCCCAATGCCCATGTTCCTGGGAACCCCGATGCCCATGTTTCTGGGCACCTCAGTGTCCCTGCTCCTGAGCACCCCAATGACCCCGTTTCTGGGCACCCCGATACCCATGCTCCTGGGCACCCCGATGCCCATGTTTCTTGGCCCACGTTTCTTGGCACCCGGTCGCCCTTGCTTCCGGGCACCTCAATGCCCATGCTTTCCTGCCCCTTCCCCTTTTCTCTCCCCTCCCTCCCTCCCTGACTCGCGTGTTTTTTTTCCCCCTCCTTCCTCCCCACGGCCCCCCACGCCGGTCCGGGCGAGATCTCTGCCCTCCCCTCCCGAGGGTCCCCCCCGATCCTCAACGCCCCCCGCGGCCTTTGACTCCCCCTCCCCCCCTCTTTCTCCCTGCACCCAAACGCCCC